ACAGAGAGAGAAGGATTGGGGAGTGCATTCAGAAAGCGAGAGTGAGCGGTCCAAGATTGAGAGTGGGAGACAGAAGTGATCAGAGAGAGAGAGAGGGAGCGAACTGAGTGGGAGTATACCTGTGTGTTGGGAAAGGCGAGCGAGCACGTGCTGTTGTGCGAACTTTCGGTGTGATGCATGTGGGAGTTTGCCATCAGATATGAGTTGGTTCATTGCAATTACTTGTTTATTCTCCTCCTTCAATGCCTCTCCTTTTTTTTAAAAGGGTCCAGCACTCCGGTTCTTTTCCACTTGCAAGCCACTGAATATAGATGAATATTCAACCCACGCTCCAAGTCGTTACGGCCGAGGACTCCCAACAGAATTGATTGCTCCCAGACAGGAGGATTGACTGCCGGATGTGCCCATGCAGATGTTCTTACCCTTCCGTTTCGAGCTTGCTACCCGCTCCGCAAAGCATACTGAGAACCAGGTTTAACCTGCTCCTCTTAGTCGATAAAATGGCTGCCTGACCACCTCTACCATTTAAGAACAGATCCTCCTGTAGCCCTTTAAGGAGGTACACTATTTGACTTTATCCTTTTTCAGATCCACCCCTCAACTGGTAGACTTCCAGATCCTCATTATCCATGGAGTCCTGAATAGCATGCTGCTCCCTTGTGACAACTTTTCTTGAGATCTTTGTAGTCTAAACATGTAACAACTATCTGGCCCTTCAGGCGTTCAAAATATGCTGCTCTTCTGTAACTCCCAGAGCTCCATTGCTTCTTAGTCCTCTATTATATCCATATTGGATTCTGGTCACTATGGGGATTGTCTGTGGTTGATCTGCTTGAGATCTCCAAATTGTGCCAATCTTTCCATTGTAAATACAGCCCATTGTCGTTGGCCAGCCAATTCTGCTGCAATTTCGCCTTGGTTTTCCTCTCATACACCACCCTTGATGGTATCAAGGTTTTGTCGGTCCTTTACACTTGATTTCAACTTCTGCTAGGCCTTCGGTCCAAGCCCAGATGTCCTCCTGTTGGTTCCTTGTTGCATCCAGCTTAATGATGCATCTCTCTTGAGCTGATGGTCCTGATTTGTGCCTCCAGCTCCTTCCAAGCATCGGTGAGAACAATGGAGGCTTTCAAGCTAGCTTCTGAAATGCAAGTGAATTGGAACAAGACAGTGGGCTGGTGGCTGTCCGATGACCCCTCCCCCCGAGTCCACCTCTGAACAGGTCATGGACGACATGCTACTACTACTACTACTACTACTACTACTACTACTACTACTACCACCACCACTACTACCAGTGCCACCACTACCACCACTCCTACTACCACTACCACCACTACTACCACTACTACTACCAATACTGCTACAACTACTGCTACTACTACTGCTACTACTACTACTACCACTACTACTGCTGCTGCTACTACTTCTGCTACTACTACTACTACTGCTACCCCTACTGCTACTACTTCTTCTACTACTACCTCAGTAGCTCAGCAGTAGAGCAGTCGGCTGTACGACATACTACTACCACTACTACTACTACTACTACTACTACTACTTCTACTACTACTACTACTACTACTACTACTACTACTACTACTACCACTCCTACTACCACTACCACCACCGCTACCACTACCACCACTACTACCACTACGACTACGACTACTACTACTACTACCAGGACTTCTACTACTACCACTACTACTGGGGAAGAAGCTATCCTGTACCTGGGAATTCAAGTCAACAAGGATGGCACATAGCCAGGGATGGGTCAGAACCTAATAGCCAAAACTATTAACCCCACTGGCACGCTGCAAGAAAACCCAGGCTTCCCTTCGAGGCAGGGCCATGATGATCAATACATCAGTTCTGTACGTACTCTGGTATCTGGCCTCTATTTGGTCCCTTCCTGATGAATCTTTTGATCTTTTAATTTTTAAAGAAAAAGACTTGTTTAATCTTCGTAAAGAAGGGAAAGCCGGGTCTCGCGTGATGCTGTCCCACGAGACGCTTTCCCTGTCCAGCCCAGGGCTGCGTGGTACGCTCATGTTTCTTTTCCCTGTTTCGTGTCAGACCTGAGGCTTTTGTTTGGGGGGGGGGGTCATGCATTTATCTATCCTCATCCATGCTCCGACCTTCCCCTCCTCCCGTATGTCTGCATGTCCGTCTAGCCCTTACCCGACATTGAAGGGGGGGAACAAACAATCAACCGATTAATCGATCAAATTTGATTGATTGATCGAAAGAGAGAGAGAGAGAGAAAGAGAGAGAAAAAGAGAGAGGGAGCGAGCATCAGGCCGGAGGGATTTTTTTCGTTTTTTAACAGTTCATATATTGCATCAACACCAATTGAGGCCGGGGACCTCACAATTTTACCCGGTGAGGCAAAAAAAAAATACTGGGGCCATGACCCAGCCTCGGCTAGGCTGAGGACAATCAGCCAAATATGAAATCCTACCTACCGGCAGGGATTGAGAACTAGTTCTACCACCAAGCACTACCGCTACGAAACCAACAGGACGTAGGAGAGGCTAGGACGTAGGCACACGAAAACAGAAAACCAGAATGGAAACACTGTCTGGCTTTCTACGAATACTAATCCTGGCCAACATTGTTCTATCATCCGCTACAGAGGAAGAGAAACTACTAAGAACCAAACAGACTTTAGAAGAAACCAATAAAAAGAGAGAAAGAACCATGCCTGCACTGATGCTAGTGGCATAAACAAGAGCTACAAGATAATAGTCAAGAGGAGCTATCATGATCCCCTCAACATTATACCTTCAACAACCACGGAGCAAAAGTGAACCGACCTGCAGAGAACCATTCGGCCATGTTCTCAGAAACCAGTCTCTTCTTTTGTTTTCTTCTTTTTCTTCTTTTTGCAAGGACGATGAGCGATAGCGAACTTCAGAAATCAAACAGCATCGTACATACAAGACCAGATAGTCGTGACCTCGAACCAAGAGCAGAATTGCATCACGAATTTCACCAAATAAGAACACACCAAGAGCTCATAATTGACAATGCTGGTATAGTCTCATCATCATCATCAATGAAGAACCAATGTTGATATCCTAGTCTCTTATACACATCTAGATGTGTATAAGAGACAGCTGCAATGCCGCCGGATGACGTCAACAGCTTCACCGAAGTACGAGCAGATCTCGGACAATGCCGTCGCTTCTAGCACCAGGTATGTCTCTCGTATCACTCACAACCCTGTTCCCCAACTCACAGATGCCACTTGCACCCAAGGACCACCCTGCGCCTCACCCAGCTCCCAGCAGTGCAGCTCGGCTATGGCTGCCTGCTCCTTCCAGCTCGCCCGTGAGCGCGCGAGCGCTAGCCAGCTTCAGCGCAGCAGCGCTTGTGCAACATGCAGCCAGCACCCAAATGTCCAATGCGGAGGCAGACCCTTCGCTATATGGAAGTGGCCTGCCTGCCTTCTGCCCCAGGCTGCGCTGGGCCTTTCCCAAGAAGCTTCCGGTAGGTCCCAGTAGGCTGAGGCCCAGTCCAAACGAATTGGCCCAGGGCTGCCGACAGTTACCTGTGCTCAACTGCCCGCAACCTGAGTTGGGCCTATGTTACGAATCTCGCCCAGGGCCTGACTCAGATGCATTTGATAAAGGAAGCCAGGGCCTGGGCGCTAACCAACTGGCGCAGCGCAACTGCCTGAATTTCCCCAGTAAATAGGCCTCTGAGGGTCTGTCAGGCCTGCCTTCACTTAGGGCGGCCGACGCTGTTGCAAATAGGGCCCAGTGGAGCTTATCGAGGCCTTGTGCCTCGCATTCCCTCCTCCATTCTTCGATAATCTGGCGCTTTCCTTTTCGTAAAGACTTCTCATAGTGGGCGACTACCTGTGGAGCGGTCTGCATCAGTTCCTCCCTTGTGAACCATCTGTCCTCCTTTGGATCAGTGTGATGTCTGAACCGAACTCGATACTGCAGCTTCGGTTTCGGAGGACGTCCTCTGCCTGTTAGTCTTGGAACTGGCATCTCCCGGTGGTCAACAATATCATCGATGCCGACCTCTCCATCCATGGTCGGGGGCAGCATTGAGCGACGAGATGGAAACTGATCTGTTTCTTTAAAAGGTGCAAGCTTTGAAGCATGAAAAAAAACAGGGTAAGTGTGTAAGTGACCAGGGATGTGAACAACATAAGATGGCCCATCTGGTTCATTCCCAACAACATCCAGAATCTCCCATGGTCCAAAGTACTGTGGCATGAGCTTGCAGGAGATCCCGTGCTCCTGTCCCAGTTCTGAAGACTTGACCCAGACTCTCTCTCCTACCTGAAACGTGGATGGGCGGCGGTGTTTGTTCTCAGACTCTATCATTTCCGCCTGTGCCTTGTGCATCTGCTCAACACCCTGCTGCATCAGTTGCTCATATCGATAAGCAAACTCTGAAGTCCCTGGTGCAGCAGGGGGCTGGTTGTCAGGTAGTAAGAAATCGAGGGGCAGTCTAGGCTTAAGGGTTAATAGCAGACTATTCGGGCTCACGCCCGTTGTGCTATGAACTGCGTTGTTGTACAGGCTGGCAATGAGAGCAAGTTTCTCATCCCAGTCTACCTGATTTGGCTTGATGTAATGCCTCAGCAGGTGCTGTACAGTGCGGTTCAACTGTTCTGCTTGACCATTCGCCTCGGGATGGTTTCCTGATGTCATCTGCAGCTGCGGCTTTCCACAGTTCACTTGTGAATCGCACATCATGGTCACTGACTATAGATTTTGGCAATCCAAAATCTCTAACCCAATTCTCTTTAAACAGCTTGATCACCTGCTCAGTCTTCGCAGTCTCCGGCATTGCAACTAACCTAGCGTACTTACTAAACCTATCCACGATAACAAAGATGTGTCTCATTCCACTCTTGCTGGTGACCAGCGTATCCATGAAGTCCATGGACAGGCTCTCACCAGGCCTTTCTGGAATCGGAAGGGGCTTCAGGAGCCCAAGAGGGGCCTGTGTACGGGCTTGTCTCTCTGACAGACCTGACAAGTTTCCACGTATAGCTTGGAATCTCTGAGCAACTCAAACTCGGCAGAAGTCACCTTGTCCTTCCCCTTAAGTCTGCGTATGATCTCAGACATAAACCGGTCCTCGCGATAGGCCTCCACCTTAGACTGAGTAACATCGTCCGCAAGCCCAAACTCAGTGATCAGCGCACCAGAGAAATCTGGTCTACGCGACAGCGCATCAGCAACCTTGTTGTACTCGCCCTTAATGTACTGGGGCTCAAAGTCATACTGCTCTATGACTTCAATCCAACGCTTCAAAGCGTCAGAGAGCACAAGCTGGGTTCTCATCCACTTCAGGGTCTGGTGATCAGTCCTTACGGAGAAGAACCTCCCAAGGTGATAGTGTCTCCAATGGGTGAGCGCCTTATAGATCGCATAAAGTTCCTTCTCATAGGTGGATTTAGCCAACTTCTGAGAGGGCATCTTTTTGGACATGTACTCTACTGGCCTCAACTTCTTCCCCTCTTGCTGCGCAAGTACGACGCCTATGCCATATATTGGCTAGCATCCGTTAGTTACTACAAATGACTTGTCAGGATCAGGAAGTTTCAAGACCTCGTGATGCGTCAACGCATGCTTCAGATGTCTAAACGTAGCCTCGCATCTGTCTGTCCACTCCCCTGGGGTGTCAAGGCGACTCAGGTCAGTCAAAGGGGCGGCAACTATGCTATAGTTCTTCACGAAATTGTGATAGTAGCCGGTCATCCCTAAGAAAGACCTCATCTCAGTCACAGACTGAGGACGCGGTCAGTCACGAATGTTGGCCACCTTCGCGTCATCAGGCTTTAATCCCTCCACAGAAATCTCATGACGCAAGTACAAGACACGAGTGCGGCCAAACTCACACTTCTCACCGTTGATCTTGAACTTGTGCTGTCGCAGAAGACATAGGACTTTGTCCAAGTGCGCAACGCGCTCCTTGACAATCTTACTAAAAATAAGTATGTCATCGAGGTACACGATGACAAACTTATCCAAGTAGTCATGAAATATCCGATTCATAGCGTGTTGAAAGGTGCCAGGAGCATTGCAAACGCCGAAAGGCATCACCACAAACTCGTACAGAACGTACCTGGTCTGAAAAGTGGTTTTGTGTTGATCCTCGGGCCGGATTGCAATTTGATGGTACTCGGACTTCAAATCTATCTTACTGAAGTACCGACACCCTTGCACTCTATCTAGCAAGTCATCGTTGCGTGGTAGGGGCTCTCTGTCCTTGACAGTGATGGCATTGAGGCCCCTATAGTCAATGCACATCCTAAGTGTTCCTTCCTTCTTTTTTGGTACGAATAGGACCGGTGAACCATAAGGAGAAACACTCGGCCGCATCCAACCCTTTTCTACGAGTTCCCTGAGTTGTCGGCGAAGCTCGTCAAGCTCGCCTGGAGACATCTGATAGATCCTACCCTTTGGGATGCTAGACCCTGGGCTAATCTCTATCGCGTGGACGACCTCCCTCTCAACAACCCATGTCGACTCTTCAAATAGATCAGGGTATTTAGCAACTACTCCCTCTATCTCCGGCGGCATTTTCACCGGCTCGCCTGCAGCAGAGACATAAACTAGATACGTACCCTCCTCCTGATTTTGCTTATAGTAATCATAGAACGTGGCCGCACACATGCATCCGTGGGACTCAATCAGACTACTAGCTTTGAACTTACACAATCTGGCAGTCCCCCCACCTGGCAAAGTGTGTTTGACCACTTTTCGGTCCCAGTCAAACTGGGGCTGTGCCACAGAGAGGTAGTACATACCTAACAACATATCTATGGGGAGTTCATCGCTCACTAGGAACGAGACACGATGTCTCAGTTCCCCTCCCGCGTACGGGAAACAACACTCAACATCTTGGAGGTAGTCATTGACTACCATGCGCTGTTTGTTGGCACAGGTCGACTCCACAGGTCGACTCAGGCGCTGCACTTGCCCCTGTAAGCGCAGCCTCTCAACGCACGCGCGACTAATGAAGTTCCTAGCCGAGCAAGTGTCATAATAGGCCCCGGCCTTGCGGCCACCAATGACTACCTCGCTGACGAACATCTCACCCTTAGGGGCTTTGACCAATGTCGTCAAAGAAGCTAGTGGGTTTGTTCTAGACCACTCCTCCTCTAGCTCCCCTAAGGACTCAAACACATTCATCGAATGGAGGCTTGATGGGTCTGAACGTGTTTGCGGGACGACGATGGAGTCAGTAGCTTGGGCCATCTCTCGAGAAGGTGAGGGTGTGTCCACCACCTCGCCCCTAGCATGAACAGCTACTATTCCTACTGGCCCGACGTGTTTCCCGGAGCAGTGCCAGAAGTACTAGCTACATTGCTACCAACGGGAGTGGAGGATCCCAACACCTGCCCCATCGTAGGCGGGATCTTCTCGGTCACCTTCTTGTTTCGGCACTTGAATTGGTTATGGCCATATTGGCCACAACGGATACAAGCCTGCCGTGTGTACCAATCTCTCCACACGTCCTCAGTGAGACCCGCTTTCTCCCATGGAGGAGCATTGGGGTCAACTTGACTCCTTGACCGGGAACCTCCTCGACGCCTACCGGTCACCTTACCTTTCTGCGCTACGACAGCTACTACTCCACCCCCTGAAGCTTCTACGCTGCCAGCCTCTGAACCTACTCCCTCCTGGAAGTTGTCATCTAACTCGATGGTTGAACCATCGTTATCGACAAACATAATGCGACCCTTCGCCTTCCAGTTGGGAGGCAGTGTCTTCTTCCTACCATCCGTCGTGGGGTTATGTCCATGCCCTATCTTGGCCTCAAGGTCTAGGGTCTTCTTGCTGAACAAGGGAAAGTTGTGCATATTGATGTTGGCCTCACCTGCCAACTGATTCCTGAGAGGCATGGGAAAGCATCTCAGGTAGGAGGTGAGTAATACCTGGGGGTCATAGCGAACCCCAGGGACACAGATCAAACACTCTACAGCGTCAGTGGCCTCCCTTACTTGAAGTGCCTCGTGTGCAGTGTCAGGATCGCGTCAGTGGCCTTTTGGGCCTCCTGAGGACCGTACCACCTGTCTTCCACCAACTTGAGAAAGTCGTCCAGTTTCTGGGTGACCGCCCAAGCGCGAAAGTCATGACCGTACCCCTGTAGCTGCACTAAACCACTCAACCATCGTGCTGCACTCCCCTCTAAATAGGAGGCAGCCACAAGCACTTCCTCGTGCGGCAAGGTAAGTTTGCACTTGACATAGACCGACACTGCCCTCAACCAAGTGTCGAGGTCTTCGCCCCTCTTATCCCCTGTAAGGGGTTTTGGAGCGGTGATGGCCGTCTTCGGTACCCACTAAGTTTGTCCCGGTCCCTGCATCACTCCGGGCTGTGGACCCTGTGGTACAGGCTGCTGCACTGACTGCAGGGGCTGTGTACCCTGCGGCTGTACAGACTGCGAGACAGTGGGCTGCACACTTACTGCAACCTGCGACGGAGGTTGGGTAAACACCGTCTGTACAGGAACCTGTAAACTAGGACCTGTTGATAACCCTCCTGATAATGGCATGCCCAGGGAAACGGTCTGGACCGATGCTGGGGCTGTATATGGGGATACCCCGGTCGTCGGTGAGACAAAAGGAGGAGGATGTACAATGGGCCAGGCACCTGGCCCGGACGGTGATGGTGACGCCTGCATTCACCCGACTAACACAGCCAGACTCTGTTGGATGTCCTGTAAGATCTCCATTTGGTGATCTTGCATTTCTACTACGCTCAACAAGACCGACCGTATGGTCCTCACGTCATCCTCCATCTCTGTAGTGTCCATCTCCTCTAACTCACTAACGTCCACTTGCCTCCGCTGCATCCTGGCTCTTCTCCTAATCATTCTCTCTTTCTCAGCCTTAATCTCTCCCAACGCCTGTTGTACCTGTGCCTGGCGATCAGCAGCTCGCCGTATGGCGACCCCCTCGGGAGTCATCACTAATGGCTGGCTTGCCATAACGCCAGTGGACTAACTCCGGGTCTGCACGACCGTTGACCCTACAACTCCTAAACTGCTAGCCTGGAAACTCAACTGCGCAGAAGTGGCCATGGCTACCGAAGCTGCGGCTTCGCGTACGAATGCCCTGCTAGCCTCTGCTGCTCTAGGTCTCCTCTGCTGCTACAGCCTCTCCCTACGCTGACGGAACAGGTATCTGTCGCCCTCTAGTCCTAAAGCGAAATGGACAATCGGGCGTCTAGCTGATCGCAAGATCCGGTCGTCCTCTCTAGTGTCCTCCCTGTCGCTCATAAGCTACAGCACTGCACACAATCTGCACTAGTACACTCTAGATGCCTACCGCAGTGTAATGCACAAAGTAGATGCATTTGGGTTCAACAGGTAAATTCAGATTCCTACAAACGAAAACTATTTCACTTTGATTAGTCCGCAAACAGAAAGCACAAGTAACAGAAAACAATTCTAATTAATGATGTCTGTCGTATGTTAATGGCAGTACATCTAACTAATAAAAATAAAAATAATATCATTTGTTTGGTATATTCACAGCATGGGATCTTACTCAAACTTATCACCTGGGATCTACCCCTTCCCCAATTCCCCTTGATTGTCACTTGACGTCAGCGTCCCGGAGCAATCCGGTTTGGCATGCGTGACTAAAGGTGTGCACATGGCCCACCCTTGTGCCCCGAGTAGCCGTTGAGCTGGCCAGCCCTGCACTGTGTTTATCCTCGCGTGCAGCGAGCCTTACACCCATTGGCTGATCCAGAGGCAATTTAACGACCGCCCCCAAGTGTCATCAGGAATTATTTTACGTCGCAGCAGGACGACGATCATAGCCAATGGTTTCCCCAGCCGGTGTTTATTTATAGACGCCCGATACTCGTCTCTCCCATAGGGCTGGCCTGCCCTTCAGTACCCCTTCTATGAGCGCAGCAAGCAGACAAGGACAAAGCAGCAAAGCATGCGTGCTCTACTCCCAGTGGGTTGGCATGGTGACCGTGACCCAGTGCTCCGACCAGGGCCCTTCAAAAAGCACCGCCCTCTCCTTCCAGATGCTCCACGAGAACAATGCCGACTCTCAAGGTTGAGCGCACACGACACCTCACATGAGAGGACTCTCAAGAAGGAACTCACAACCTCATGATAAAAATTGATGAAGAGGGTAGATAAGGTTAAGAGCAACGTACCTCATTATAGCTCCCCCCAACCACAGATGTTCTCACCAGATGACCTGATGGCGAT